TTGTTCGGTAAAATAATTTTTAGTGATATAGAATTAACATAAAAATAATATATTATTGTTAAAATGAATAATAATATAAGTAATAAATGAACAATTATAGATGAATGATAAAAGGTTTTATGTTAAGATTAAAAAAAACTTATAATTAAATTCTTGAATTTTTTCTGAATAAAGTAAACATAAAAAAACTGTTCACAAATAATATGAATATTTATAATTATTAACGATAAATAATATTTTCTTATAATTAAAGTGTAGGATAAAAAGTTAAGTAAATTTTTAAAATCATTATAATGGAGGATGAATGTTTAAGTAATAAGTATATTTGAAATGATTGTCTGTAATAATTTTTCCTTGACAAATTTTCTTCTATAATTTTAAGTTTTTAAAAATTTTACTTCAACGCTATTTTAGTCTCCTTTTTATTTTTATTTTTAGTCTTTGCTTATTTAATTCTATTAAGAAAACATAAACAATTAGCATCGTAATTAAGAGAATGAAGTTTGCTCGTCTTTAGTATTTTTACTAATTTATATATTTTTTTGTAAAACAGTAACAATTAGCATCAAATCTTAATATAATCAAGTTAGCTTGTCTTAAGTTTTTATTAATTTAAGCAAAATGTTTAAATGAATTCTCTTAATTAATTTTTATTATATTTTTCATGATTCATATTTTATTTAAAATTTAAAAATAACTTCATAATAATTTTGATTATCTCCCGCCGCTAAGCGTATCTACAAATACATTTTAATGTTTTCAAGAATTGTTTTTGTCTTATTTTAAGTAATGATATTGCTCTTATAATTTCATGGAAAAAAACAAATCAATTATTCGCTTTTATATATCTTATTTTGTATCATTCTTATTAGAAGTAAAAATAACTATACAAAGAAGTCTTTGTCGATAAATTTTGCATTACAAAATTAAAGTAGAGGACAATTAAGCTAAACATAAATATATTTGGTTAGAAATGTTTTTTGATGTGATTTTAAGATGTCACAAATTTAAAAATTAAGTAATTTGGGGTTATGAAGGTATAAAGTTGGAAGTTATAGGTATTACTAATAAGTATTAATCAAGTATAGAGGTTTTGAAAGATGAAGAGGTGTGAGTTTATGATAAAAATTAAATTAAAAATAAATATATAAAAATAAGAGAAAAATGTAAAAAAAATGTGACATGTTTTTTTAATAAACAAAAATATGTTTAAGTAAAATCCTCCACCATTTTTATGATTTATTTTATTATATGACATATTTTCTTTTTACCTCATTTTAAAATTTTCAAATAATTTAAAGTCTCCAAATATGCTTCTAATAAACATTATTTTTAGTAATTACTATTATTTTGAACAATATATACTTTTTCTCTTATTTTATATTATAGGAGAGATATCTATTAAGAGAAAAATTAATTAAAAATAAATTTAAAAAGGGACACAGAATTAAAAAAGTTAGTCAAAAGGAATAGAAATTTTTTTGAAATTATCAACAAAAAAAAAAGTAATCGTACGAATGTTTTAAAATAAAATTAAAAAATATTTAATTTTTTGCTGAGTAAATTCTCAAAATTGTGAAACATTTGGCCTATAAATAATAATTATATATGAATAATATAAAAAATAATGCAACGTTAAAATTATGTATTTTTACCATAATTATTGTTATGTGATTGTGAGATACGAAATTATAACAGGAATCGATTTATTTGATTCTTAGCTATATAATATTTGAATTTAATATTTAGTATTTTATTTACTTTATATTGAGATATGATATATTACTTTTTTTATTACTTATATTTATTATATATTTGTATAACAATTTCATAGCTAGTGAGGAGGAGGATATTGTTAGACGCAATCAGAAATAAGATATATTGACGTTTTTTCATTAACTAACTAATCTGATAAAGAACCAATCAACTCTTGTTACATTAGTGATTTAACCGGAGAACTATAAACAATCCATACAATAATACCAACAAACATACATAAAATTAATTAACTAATCAAGCAAAAAAAAAAAAAAAATCAAGCAAAAATATTTAAAATATACGATTTTTCAAATTTACGAAGTGAATAAAGACAATCAGTGTCGGTAGAAACTACAAGATTAAGAAAAAAAATCTCAAAAAAACTACAAAGAGAAGCAAAAAAAATGAATAAATTATTTTTTCTATAAAAGAATAATGATTTGTATCATCAACAACTCAACCTAATAATATTAAATATATATGTAATTACAACTAAACAAAGTGCTAATGATAATTAGACATATCAAATCATTTTACCTCACAAAAATTAAAATATGCAAAATATATAATATTTTTCATTATACATCCCTCTCCTGCAAAAAATCAGATAAAAGAAGACAAAAAAATAAAAATTAACAAATCAATGGTATAAAAAATGAAGAATAAGGAAAATAAAAATAAAATGACCATCGTGGAATATCTCAAAGTGGGTTTTTATAGGTGTAATATTTAGGAGTTATAATTTTTTATTAAATATTTTGAAAGTTATGAATATGAAAGGTTAGGAGTTAGAAGGTGTAATGCTCATTAACTAATTTATTAATAGAAATATCTATATATATATACACATAATATTATTGTGTAAAAAAAAATCTAAAAAACTCTTTTTGTTAAAATAAAAATTATATATTTTTCTCATCATTGAGGCATGCCACATAGGCTGATTGAAGATCCTCATTTATATATATATATTGATGTTTACTCATCATTTTAACTGAATTAAATAAATATAATGTATATTTGTATTTATATTTGAAAGCGTATGTGTGCCCACCTAAAATTTCATGAGATTTTAAATCGTTGAATTAAAGAATTTTTTTATATTATTTTACCTTAGCGTGAAGAATATAATGACCTTTTTTTTTTTTGTGTAAATGACTTTTTTTTTTATTTTGCTAGTTATAATTTAGCTTGATAATAAGTTTAATATAGAAATAAATTTTTTAAAATTTTATTATTTTAAATATGTTATAATATTTGTGTCCTCTAAAAATAATATTTTTAAATATACTATAGTATTTTTGTGATTATGAACACTTCTCTTGAACATTGATTAAAAATATAATATCAAATAAAATAGGTAAAGTGATTAATAGTGATATAAAATAAATTTTACATTAGATTGTCTTTAATTTATTATTGTAGGTTCACAAAAGTCCATTAAGTGTCATTCATGAAAGAGAATTATTTTTATCATGTTGATAAAAAAAATTAAATTCATCATTTAGAATAAAAAATTACACTATTTAATACAATTTAGGAAGATATTTAGTTTACTGCGAGTAATTAGTTGGAACATTCACAAAAATTAAGAATACATAAATATATACCTTCTGGTATGATTTTGACAGTGATATCCTATCAATATCATTGCATAACCAATATCTTTATAGGTAAGATTAATAATTCTTACTTTTTTTTATGCAACTTAAATTAATATAGTTTTGACAATAATTATTTCTTAATGACATAAAATATGGCATTTCATATGATATACAAATTAGTTTAAAAATAAAATAAAAAATTGCATGTTAAATGTAAATACAAAAAAAAAAATTGTAGCAATATATATGATGAATTGTAATTTAGACAACTTAAAATTCTGTTTAACATACGATGATTAAAAAAGTGCCTTTTGAATTTCATTTAATACCATATATCTTGTAAAAATATAAAAAATTCATTAAGATAAATTTATTAATATAAAATATAAATAATTAAGTGTGAGTTATTTAATTAAAATTTTCCAGCAAATGAAATGTAATGATTTATCATGTTTTAGTTTAGCATTCACTTTATGTTAGATGGGTTTATTTTATTGGTTGAGAATCTACTAGAAAAAAACATACAATATATTTCATATTAAACATGTTTTATATAATTTTTTTGTGCATTATCATGTATTGTTCACTAATAATATTTAAAATTAAAACTAAATATTTCATTAGCTTTTGTAGTTAATGTATTTTTTAAGATTGCGGGAGAGAAATCAACATATAAATTTAAAAATATTACTATTAAGTTTAAAAATTTATATAAATTATTTTAACTCATGAAAAATGTTGGAATGTGACAAATAAAAAGATAATACTGCAAGTAAAAAAATGAATACATAACATACAATAAGAACATATAATATAGAGCGAGACAATTATATAAATGTATGACATATAATTTTAATTGATAAAAAAAAAAACTTATTAGTTCACCTATATAAACTCAATATTATTTAGTTATAACAATTCATTTGCATCCACCTGACATGTGAACAAAAGAAAACCTCTCATCTGAACAATGAAAAATATTCAAATAAATTATCAATACATATATCATCACCGTATTCATATATTTTTTTATCTTATAAATTGCACATATATTATAGAGAGTAAAAAATATATATATAAATTGTTCACTTGTCAATATTTTAAATTTCATTAACTATAACTTGTGTTACCTAAACTAACTTTTAAATTTTTGTTATTTAATTTAAATATTAAAATGAGTTGTTGTTGTTTTAATATAAATTAAATATTATTAATAATTATTTAAAAAGTATATTACTCACCATCGAAAAATTCACTCTACTAGACCGTCTTTTTTTTTTTAAAAAAAATAAATTATTGTATTTTTATTAATTAACTTTAAAAAAAATAATTAATGACTATATTAAAATGAATTGAATTTCATACGATAAATTGATGATTACATTACATAATTTCTTTTTATAAACAACATTAAATACTTACAACATATATGCATATATATCAATATAAGATCATGAATTCTTATACATAATAATTACATATAACTTAAATACTCGATGTAAACAAAATATAATTTCCTCTACACAAAAATTACCTTTTTTATGTATAGTTTCAATTCAATTCTATAAATTGTTAGGGATAAATAAAGAATAGTACTCGAACGAGGACAAATTGCAACCCGAAGTGAACTTTGGGGACCAATTTGGCAATTTACTCTCCTGCTCCAATAACCTCAACCTGGATCCTTGCAACAAATTCGGGTCCAACACACAGTCCGACGGAAGATCGTCCTTTACCTTCACGCCAAGTTCCATTTCACAAAACGATATCACTCAACAATGGCGGCAATAGCCGAATCATCGGAAGCAAATGTAAACTCACCGTCGCCGTCGTTACCACCAGAAAGAGTTAATCACGAAGACAAGTCAAATACCTGGGGAGAGGCTGTCCCATGGATCGACAATGCACTGCAACAGGCGCAGCTTGCCCGGAAGACCGCAGAAGACACCTTCGAGAATGCAATTGTGGTGACCAAATCTCGTCTCAATCGGATTTTAACTACTTCTTCTGCGCACTTCAATCAAACACTTGTAAGTTCCATTATTATTGCTTTATATGTATGCTTTATGCCTACTTCATGTCACATTAGAAATTATATGACTTCTCAGTGCAAGTGTTTATTGTATGTATTTGCTTCCAAATTAGCAGTTTGACCTTGTAGCTCCATATCAACTTAATTACAAGTACAATTCGCTCCATTGCTGCAATTTTCAGTTTAAATGCTTTAAGCTACATTGGGAGATTCATTTTCCATGGTTTTTTCGATATTAAAGTTGATGAGATATGATAATTGTACTGGGTAGGATAATATTTATATTCACAACAGTCTCTGCGTTTTGATTGAAGTAAGTGATATGTAAAGATGTGTGATGTTTGTAAGTGAGGGTAGATTTGCTAATCAGAAGGAAGCATTAACTCCTCTTTGGTGGCTATATTTTCCCAACACTTAAAAGTAAATAACTGGAAATTTGTTGCACAAGTTACCAAAACACAACTATCTCAATCCAATTCTTGAAATTGGAGAACCATAGATGTGCATCTATTTTTGATGAATTAAGACCTGAGAACCGGAGCATTGTTGCTGAGATTATTGAAGTTTGTCCTATTTATAAATCATAGGAATTAATAGTATTTAACTACCACATCTTAGTTTGTCAATGTCCAACACCACTATCCCCATTTGGCTCACATCTAATGAAAGAAACAGAAAAATGTTTCAAAATTGAGAGAGATGTAGAAATCACTAAGCGATCCCTTTTATTCCACTTGCGTTTTAGGCCTAAAGAGAGAAAAATGTGTTATTTGGATTGTTGGCAGATTGAGATGATTGTGGATGGCTAGGGTTGAATCGTATAGACAGCTTATACAGTACTTTGAGCACTGACTTGGTCAATAATTTCGGTTCATGGAAAAATAATGAGCTCTTAAGGAAACCAAAACTGCAATGATATATTTTCGTTATTCAACAATTACTGAGATTGTTGGGTTGTTTTTAGTTCTTGGTGTTCTCTACAGTATTATGGATTTTGGGAGGAATTAAGCCTCATCTGCTTTAGATGCCGGATGACATGCTGCACGTTTGAATGAGAAGATTATACTATCCCTATCATCTTTGCTTTTGTTTCCCTTCTATCAGATCTCTTCCCACCATGGTGGAGTATTTGTCTTGTATTGCATAAAAACTGGAGCAGATGATGCATGATACAACCCTATTGTGTGTTTCCGAGACCTATTATTCCTAGGAAAACCCCTTACTTATGCTAACCTCAAATAAGATGGTTTCTTTTAAGTAATGATTACGTGTTATTCTTTTGGTCATTGCATAAGTTACTTAAATTTGGGCATGCTGGTTGCAGGATACCTTGCAAGATTTGAAGTCTGAATATAGTGTATATGAGGACTTGGCTTTTGGGAAGATCAAAGGTTAGTTCTTACCATTCATCCAATTGTTATGTTGTGTTTTAATTTCTCTCCATAGCCTTAGCTTTGATCAATGGAGAATATGTTGCAGAGGGTCTTCTTCTTGCTGCTTCACACCCCCTAGCAACTACTGGAGCTGTTCTTGGTGTTGGAGTCTTGGTTCTGAAACGTAAGTCTATTCAAGTCTTTAGGTGCTGAATGATATTTCTGGGATGGACACATGTGGTTTGACATAGTCAAAGACTCAAAGTGTTATCTACTTAATTCTCATTCCCTTTGGGTCCCACACGATAAAGGACTCAAAGGGTGTTTTATTGTGCATTTTGGATCATTTTAGCCTAGCTTTAGTTGTCTATTATCATCTTGCTTGGATTGGACTTTTCTTAGTTGAGTATCATAGGTATGTATACAATATATCATTACATAATTTAATTAACCTCCCTTGTACTTTGTTAAAACTAGAGAGACCTCTTATTTGGTTTATGATGACATGCTGCAGCATTGGGCTTCAAATAGTTGGTACAAAAGTCTGCCCTTTTGTCATAAGGTTTGTTCTTTGATGTGCCAAAGTTGCTGATACATCAGGTCTTCTACTGGCAGTTGAGGTTTATTGCAACAATTTCATTTGGAACAACGTGTCAAAAATAAGGAGAACTTGCAAAAAATTGTGTTTTCTTGATGTCTACCTTGTGCCCTTTATTTTTATTTATTAGTTGTCACATTTTATAGCATGGGCAGATCAGCAAGAAGTGTCAAGCTAATCGTCTTGTTAATACTTGGCCTTCTTTGTGGAAACTGAGGCAAGGTAAATGCAATTATTGGAAAAACTTAACTTAGATCTATGTTATTATGCAGACTAAAAGAGAGGTTAAAGATCTAAGCTATTATGAAATAACTAGAATGGAGGTCAATGTATTGTATCCTTCTTGTACATAAGACTCATGTGTGTCCGACCTGTTTGGTCCTTCGTCTTCCTGTTTGCCTGAGTGATCCTTACTCTTGCAGGGCCAAGGCGTTTTTTGTACTACAGTGCTATGCGGCTTTTTGTGCGTGAAGAGGTAACTACCAGTGCTTCATGGTGTTCTCCATGTGGCAGGAGTATATCTGAAATTCATTTAAGATCTTAGATTCGTTATATGCTTAGGAACCAGTGATAAAGAGGACAAATTGCTTATTCTATTTATATCAAGTGCGAGATATTTGATATAGCTAGTGTAATGCTGGAAATAATTGTTCATGGGTGTACCGTCTGATTAGAATAGCTTGAGTTCTTTTGACAAATTACCAAATAATACCAATAGCTGGTTGTATTGTTACAAATTGGAGGACATTAGATTCATAATATGCTTAGGAACCAGTGATAAAAGAGGACAAATTGTTTAATTCTTTATATATCGTGTGAGATTTTATGATTTGGCTTGTGTAACACTTGAAATTCTTGTTCATGAGTATACTGTCTGGTTAGAGTAACTTGAGTTCTTGTGACATTTACCAGTAGCAGGTTATTTTGTTACAAAATTTATCACATTAATAATGAATTTCTAATTTTTTATTATGGGAGCAGGCCTTGCTTTCTAGGGCAGATGCAAAAGTCAAAGAATTACAGAAGTCAATTGACCTTCTGAAGGCTGAAAGTGCGAAATTGGAGGTATGTCCTTTTCTTTCCCTGATTTAAGGTTATGATTTGTTAATTTTTTATATTTTTTCGGACGGATCCATTTTAACTGGTGCTGGGGGGGACAAATGGTTGTCAAGCTATAAAAGTTAGTGAGGATTGCCTATTTGATTAGTTCAATAAACTACATTACTTTGTAGACAAATCTATTCAAGAAGTGAAGTGAATCTTACTCTTAGCTTATCATTGCAGAATCAGGCAATACAAGCTGAAGGAGAGATGATACGGGGAAGGACAAAACTCAGGTTTGCATTTCCAGCTGCCTTGTTGTGAATACTTCATGACTAATATTTCTTAACAGGCTGGATTTTCTGTTCAATCTTAATGCTTTATACAGGCAGGCAGGCAAACAAATCCGTAGTGTCATACAGTCAGCACATAAGATAGAAAGGCAAGCTACAGGTTTGCAATCAACTCTCTGTTTATCCTTGTTCAAGGAAGTCCATAATCCTCATTTGTCATATGGACGAGACAGCTTAGTAAATCAATTTTTTTTTATAAGTGATATATTAGGTAGGAGCTTCTCTGATTAATATATGTTTTCTCTAGGTCTTCAAGATGTTCTTAAAGAGTTTCCCCGAAGAGAAGTTTCACTCTTCCGGTCACAAGTAAGTTCCCTACACTGCTCCTTTCTGAATATTAAATAGGCTCGTCTACTATTTCCTCGAGACCTTAAATTTGCTATGAAAAAAATAAGAGATGAAAACATATTTGCACTTGTTGAACTATGAATTTGAGATTTGGCCTTACAAGAAAATTAAAATGGGAAAGCATGACTGATTGAGCCAGTTAGTTGACTATTTCCTCATGTGACTTTGTATTGTAAATCCTACTTGCAATGTAAATTTGGTAGGAGACACAGGTTACAAGAAATTGGGAATTTAATCTTTTCATCCTCGAAAGCCAACTCTACTTCATTTTTTTTTCTTTTGATATTATAATCACCACCTGCCCATTCCTCTAATATAAATATGCTTATTGTTTATTAAACAATGTTGCAATATGTAGTAACTTTAAGAATTGAAATCAAGCATAATGTAATGCCTGTACAATCTTAACCTGACTTTGTTTTGGCTGCTTTGCCTATTTAACACATATGAACCACCTTTTTTTGGGGTAACTAACAACTTTTCCATTACCAAAATGAGAATTGCAGTGCTGAAAAACAACCTTACAACCGTACATAGAGCTACAGTATTAAGGTTACAACCAAAAACTTCTAGACATCGGACCTATTTATTAACTAGGATGGAAGTTCAAAGTTTGCAATTTCCTAGCTACCCTGGATTTCAAGTTCCTTCGAAAGTAAACTTTCTGAACTATCATCTTCACAATCACTATTTGCGTTGAAATATACATTGCAAGGAAGTAGGATTTGTTCCTCTCTTGCCACATGTAATTCACACCAGCAGCCAAGCACATTCTATAAATTTCAGATTGAGAGTAGAGAGAAATTCTGGAATGCACACTTTGGTACGTTTTGAGACGTGGCATGACTAACAAATAATTTCTCTATCATCTCACAGAACTCTGTTGCAGTTCAAAAATATTACTTTACAATTATTTGAACTAATATTCCTGTATGAACTTCTGTAAAAATAATATTAGAAAAATTTACTACAAAAATTGCCGAATTTGCTCCCGACTAGTGATGATAATACTTTGACCATGTGGTATCAGGTATGACGTTAGGCGTATTTCACTTATCTGATATGTGGTGGGGTTAAATTGTAATGAAGTTCAACTGATTAAGATTCAAATGATGTATTTTTAAGTGTTAGTTTTTAGAATTCAAAATGAGAGTTTCAATTTGGATATTTGCTCCTTATGTTAAATGATCCAAATCATTAACTTGCTATAGGAATGCTGTGATGTTATGGTGTATGTGGCCAAAGTCCGATTATATTAACTTTTACTTTTTTTCTTTTTAGAATAAATAAGTGGAAATTATCCATTTCCCACTTATTTACTCTAAAAAGAAAAAAGGTAAAAGTTGATAATTATCGGACTTTGGCCATATACACCATAATTTTTTGCCTTGCATCTTCTTGATGCCTTCTAATGAAATCTCCAGACTTCATTAAAAAAAAAGTGGAAACTATACCATCTTCTCTTGATGACATTGATTTCTGTCATCAGGTTTCCAACCTTGCTTCAGAGGCAAAAAAGGAAAGGAATGTTCTCACCAAGGAAGTTACAAAGATAAGCAATTATGGCATATCCATCTGACTGAACTGCACTCTTGTTTTATATGATCCAACACATGGTGGACGTCAGGCGCCAAATTCTGTTTCTCTGTCTCCTTTCACTTTACTTCCTTTTCCTTTTCATTTACGAAAGAGCATTCAGGAAGCTCTGGTTCTGGTCATTTTATAGTTCAAGTTATCAACTCTGACTTCACTGCACAGCCTTGAGAGTCGGGGATTCTGCTTGTTTTTTCTTTCAGTTCTGAATAAGTGATGGTTTGAGTGTTGAAGTTTTGAGGCATGGGTTTTTTACTGACTAGAGATCAGTGTTGCTTGAATCTAACCCCTGCTTTGTACAACTTCAGACCCTAATTTACAAGCAAAAAAAGAAAAACTTTTGTGACGACTATCATATTCCTGCTGTGTGCCATTAAATTCTAGCAGTGGCCAATTTGAACTACTAGTTATGCTGTTTGTACTGCAACCTGGTGGGCAAATTCAAAGTTAATACAGAAGTAACATTGCAGTGTTTTTTGATGGTTCATGTGCACCAATTGTTTAGCCTCCACAAGAAGAATGAAAGTGAAGTTAATAGTAGATGGAGATATTGCCGTGAAAATAACGATTCAGATATCTAGGTTTGGCCTGTTAGAAAATCTGATGATCATAATACTATGAGAATAAGCAATTAGTGTTAAAGTAAAACATGAAAAAATATACTATTATGCTAAAAGTGACAAGTACATGTGAAAGCTGTATTTTTAGTACACTGGAATTTGTTTCAAGAACATTTGTGTCACGACTTATACTTTTAAATCGAAATATGTCATTATTGTCCTTGACTCTTTTATCAAGATATGATAGTTTAAAAAAGTACTGTAACAGATCTATTTTCATGGCCAAACAGGCCCTCAGAATATCTGCAATTTTACAGAACAGAACTATATGGTTAAACTTTTTGCACATTAGAAAAAGAGTGGCGAAGTAATGCAAAATGGACCTTCAATATTGTACTACAACTCCAACCATGGCAACTTTTTTTCTTGTTTCCCATCCGGTTTCCCATCCGGTGTCTGGAGACATTGGAGCTCCGACTAAAGTCGGATCGCGTACTGTAGATCCATTTGGGCGTAAAGCTCTCAATAGGATTTTCTCCATATTTAGGGCTCAAATTCAAAATCTCTCGTTAAAGATTAAAATATTCTCACCAGTGCACTACAACCCATCATGACAACTTATTACTGCAATTCATCGACAAGTAACACTAGACCATATCCACCACTTTGTTTGGGAAAGCAAGTTTTTAAATCCCAAAAATCTATTGAAAATAATATTTCTACTACAACCTTCGTACTACTCACCCTTTCGATACTCTATTTATAAAACTAAATTGAATAATCTTTCGTACAACTCATTTTTTTTTTTATTTATAAAGTTATACTGAATATGTTTTTTTGTGATACACAAATAAATATATTTGTCCTAATTTTATAAGTACAGGGATGCATTGAATCTGCTGACTTGATAAGCGTAAGTTTGATTATATTCAGTCGATAGCCATGTGATTACTGTTTAACCCAACATGACGTAAAATGTAAAATATTTTGATTTTTGAAGCCTATACGAATCACGTGCAATGCCTAGCCCACCTCCCATCACGCAACCCAAATCGGCAGTTGCGAAATTCAATAAAAATGCGTTGCTCAAATTTCAAAAAATTACACCAACACAATAATAATTATTCTATCCCCCGAAATAAAAAAAACTAAACAAAGAAAAATAAAAAAACGTTTCAGATTGTAAAATTAGCATGATGATAATAATAAATAAAAAGAAAAAGGAGTCCACGGTTAGCTCGGCGGTGAAGACACGTGTCTCTTCTCTCTTTATATGACGTCAGCAGACCCGAAAGTGATGTCCGTACATTCCCTCCTCTGTCGACGGCGGCATTTGTTGTTGCTGCTGCGGTTGATGGATCATTTCCTTCTGTCGACGGAGCTCCATAACTTTCCGGTGAGAATTTGAGTGCTGTGTTAACACAAAAGTTGGACTAGCTGCGGGGCGGTATTCCGGAACTAGCCGGCCTGATTTGTACCTAACTCCACAAGCATTGCAGAGTGTTTTTGGGCCTAGAGGACCAGTTCTCCACTGCGGCGTCTTCTCCGAAGCGCAGTGTGTGCATCTCCGTGGCACATCTTCGTCCATTGAAGACGACCTTTCTCTGGTATATACTGAACTCTCCTTGTTCTTCACAGAAGTAGTAGCATTAGAGTTCTGTAGTGAGGATGTCCAGCTTGAAGTAGAACGAGAACGTTTGCTTCTCGACCTTCCATGAAACGACGCAGTATTGGAAGTGATATTCATCGTTCCGGTTACGGAATTAGCCGGAAAATTACTAAACGAATCTTCTACAAAGTTCGATAACCATTCCAACTCCGCTACATCATCACTCTGCAACGAAAAAAAATAAATAAATTAATACTACTAATTAAAAACAGCTATAATTGATGTAAACTAGTCCGTATTGATGAAAAAAAAAATTCTTACGGGAACGCAGAGGTTATCAGTGAAATCGTCGGAAGAATTAGGAAGAAGAGCATCGTAATAATTGGCGGGTCCGGCGGCGGAGGAGTTGTGTGAGTGAGGTTGATGGTGGTGGTTAGAGTCGGTGTTGTTGGAGTTGTTATTAATGGAGAAAATTTCGTCGTTAGAGAAATCGAGTAGATCATCGATACGAAACAAGTCAGGTGCAGAGTGCAGACCGTAGACATCCATTATTGTCGACGACTCTCCGGAGCTAGTTTCTCTCTCTAATAATAAGAGAAGGGGTTTTAGAGAGAGAAATAGAGTGTGAGAGTGAGGGTGAAAAGTGTGATAGTAATAGATATAAAGGAGTAGAGTGCAAGTGAAGGTTGGCAAGAGGGGAGACAAAACAACGTGAAGAGAAAATCACCAGTTTTCCTCGTGATATTAGGTCACAACTTTACTTAAATTATTTCATTTTTAAATTAGTAACTATTTCTATAAACGATTTTATAGTCTTAGCATATTTACATGAGAAAATCAATGGAGTATTGTTGCTAACATGCTGATTAACAAGAACACAAAAGATATTTAAGCTCAAGCAAGTCATTTACAGTTTCAGTAAATGAATTGTCATAATAGGAAAAAGGATGCACAAATGTAAGGTAATTAAAGTTTGAGAAGGAGTATTATATTAATCACAAATTGTGATGAGTTAGATTGATATTTCATTTTTCTTTCTTTGATTATAAGTCATTGAAATGGAGCTTATTACTAATATTTGTGACTCGTTGTTTTTTGTATATTCGATAGAGGATTAAGGCGAGGTTATATACATCGGCGCACCAACTTAATTTTCGAAAAAAATCTGTATATCTATTTTAAAAAAACGTATAGAAATTAGAAGTTAAAGATATCACCTCTAGATTAGGATTCGAACTCCACTTAAACTAAACATGTTTTGGGCAATGAATTTTCAATTTCAGTAGTCATCCTCTTTTCCATCAAATAATAGAGCCGTTAATTAAATATATATTTACTTTGAACGAAATTTTCTAATATTTTTTTCGTTTTATAATAAGAGATATTTTTAGCTTGAGAAAACCTAAAAATAGAGAAGTGATTTTGACTAACTTACCCCTAAACCCTAATCAAAGGAAAGCTAATTAATGGGTTTTGTTTATTTAAACAAGAGTAATTTTGAAAAACTAAGATCAAATCATTCCTAAAATTTCAAAACACTACTTTTTAAAAAATAAAATAAAAAAAAGTTAATCTTCATTTATTTTGGAACGAAGAGACTAACTGATGAACAAATAAAATTCTTAAACGTTTGATATTATCGATTTATTCTAGCTGTTATATGGGAAGTTTCTTAATCACTGCAAATGACAACGTAACTTTCGAAATTCTATGACTTAGATTAGAAATTTCCTTCAAACGTACTATTCTGGAATGATTTTACAATTACTTTTAACCCAGAATAATTAGAGAGTTAACTTTAATTTTGATGATCATCCAATTCTCTAAGAATTTATATAAGGCTATACTTGTAATGAATATTTGATCCAAACTAACCTTTCTCTAAAATATTGCAAAAAGTTATCCATTTTTGTAATTTTTTTTAATCTTGCCTTTTTTTTAGAAACAAAGAGAAAATGTGTATGAACAAGCTAAAAAACAAGAAAACGGACTTTTTCATTAATTTTGCTCATATGAAAATTTTATTCAATATATAATTTAGAGAAAATGTACAAGTACCCCCTCAATCTATTCCCGAAATCTCGGAAACACACTTATATTATACTAAGGTTCTATTACCCCTGAACTTATTTTATTAGTAATTTTCTATTCCTTTTTAGCCTACGTGGCACTAGTTTGAAAAAAAAAGTGAACCATTGTTGGGCCCACAAGATAGTGCCACGTAGGCTAAAAAGAAGTAAAAAATTATTAATAAAATAAGTTCAGGGGTAATAAGATTGTATAAGTGTGTTTCTGAGATTTCGGGTTGAGGGGTACTTGGGCATTATCCCTATAATTTATAAGAAATAAAAGGCTATCCTTATTTTATTGACCTATTATACTGGCACGATCCAATAAAAAAAAAACTTATATATGTCTATATATATATCCTTTTATTTAACTTTTTAGAGCTCAAATACAAAATCTTAAATTCAAAAATAGAAGAATTTCGATCAGTTTTTGCTCTAAAGAGTTAGAAAAAATAATAATTTAATTTTTCTGTAAAAAGGAGAAAATTTTTTAACTGATGGATGGAGAAATATGAGATTAGTTATTAATCAATTGATTGAGAATTATTAATAGAAATTAATTATAATAAAGCGATAAACATTTTTTTGTATCTCAGGCAGTTAGAAGAATATATATTATAAAAATATATTAATAATTGTTAAAATTTAATTTTATATCGTTAATATGTTTGAGCCGTATCATGTTACAACCTTTATCGGTGTGAAGGTTGAATAGAAAAATAAATAAAAATGTATATATGAGTGCATGGTTGCTTTCATGAGTAATTTGATGAAACGATTGTGGTCCTTCCGTGCTAGTGAGTAGTGACCACTGCACTTTCTTCAGATACGGACATAACATTTTTTTCTTCTTTTCTATTTTCTCTATTAAATTAATTATTTCCTCAATTCTTATCCACAATCCTTTCTCACTAATGTTTTTTACCTCTCCAATTATACAATTTTTTTAGCTATATATTGAGTAATAATTGTCGAAGAAAGAAGAAAATCGATGATTGAAACAGGTTCAACGCAGCTGACTGACATGTGTGCAGATAGGTCAGTCAGCTGCGTTACATCTGTCCCAATCGTCAGTTTCCATCTTTTTCAACAATATAATAAATCCTAACAAATTTTTCTCCCTCTTGATCACGCACATAGTTGAACATGAAACATTCAATCAAATTAACTTCAAAATGTAACTCACATATTATATACATTGCATTTGTATTTGATCAAAAAAATTATACAAAATAC